TCACTCTATCACACTATCAGGCGCTCCAGTCTACCTCCATGCTACGAAATTGCGATCCAAAAGGTGGATTATAGACTTGTGTCCCTCATTTTTTTCCAGATTGAACTTTTCGATATTTTTCTACTGTCAGTGATTTTTTAGTGTTTTATCGTTGTATTCCTGCCAGATTTTCGATAATGGGTCATCTTCTCGTGGTTGTAGCCGTAAATTTGCTGGCCTTCTGCGTGCAAAACATCCTAAGTTGTGCAGCTCAGAAAGATCAGAAGGCGCTGGCTGTGGAGAGAAGTGAGTAGCACTCATTTATGCAGCTTTCGTAGGGCAAATTTGTTGCGGCAAGATCTGTTCATGCTACATACGACGTTTCTTCATGTCAGAAATATCCACTTCATGTATGACTTTTATCCACTTCATGTATGACTTTTATCCACTGGCAAGGGCATGCACCAGTTACGCGTAACCATGCACAAACCTATGGTACACAAAGAAACGTGGAAGCACCGTCATGAGTATGACAGATGGTTCATTCTCCCGGCTCGTTTGGCCGCTATCAGAACCTTGCAGCATCAAGGAACATGCAGTTGCCACCTGTTGCATTTAAGTTGATTGTAACCATAATTTTTCTGTGTAGTCAATCAGGTTTTGAAGGAAGCCAAAGCCAGCAACGGCAGCGGCACCATGGATCTGCGCGGCTATGGGCGCGGCCCCTCTTCTCCGCGGTATCCCGTAGCGGAATGGCCGGCGGGGACGGAGGTCATCCGAGCGCCCGAAGGCGGCACACTCGTCATTCCCTGCAGCAACCCGAACAACACGCAGGTACGGCAAGTAGGGTACTGTAAGACCGTACCATCACCCGGTGTGGTTTGCTGCACGCTTCACAACGCCGCTAGAAATTGTTGTCGAGCACATTTTTTTATGCGTAAAGAACATCAAACAATTTTGTTGCCGAAATTTGTAAAATACCTTGATGCGCCAGCAGATCTTTTTCCAGTGAAAAAAACTAGTTGGGTCTTTTGCAAGGTAGCACGTCAATTCGCCGACCTACAATTCGCTGCCCGACAAACTGCTAACCGACATGTAGCTGACCGACAATTTTTTTGACTGCTAAATTGCTGACCGACGTCTTGTTAAAACAGTTTTGCTGACCGGCAACTTTGTTTTCGGTTTGATGCGCTGATTTTTGAGTTGTCTAAACTTCTTGATGTTTTCTCTTAGGTTTCTTAGTTTTCTTAGGTTTCTTGGGTTTCTCACATCAGCGAAATGTAGTCAGCAGGGTGTCGGTATTCACAAAAGGTCGTTCAACAAACTGTCGGGTCATCATTTCGTCGGTCAGCAAAGATGTCGGTCAGCAAGATAGTCGTCAACGAGTTGTCGGTGTGCCCTTTAGCAAATAAATTCAGCTTGTCCTTTAAAATCAATCTTGACTGACTGTCGGCATTACACACAGGTGTCCCACCTCGCGATTCCACCGGCATTTAAACACAACGGAGTGCAACATAATTTCACAGATCCGGCATTTATCTGGGAGCAGCTTGAGGAACCCTTTTCTTGTTGCAACTGTTCAAATAAAGAGTATATTGATTCGTCGCTGACGGCGCCCGCGTACGACGAGCAGACGGGTGCGTTTACCATCGTGCTGGAGAACTTTTCGTACCTCAACACCGGTCTGTACGAGTGCCTGCACACCAACGGGAGCCAATGGGTGGTAACCCAACGCTACTGGGTCAGCGCCACCCTCTTCCGCCACAACGTCTTCAGTCCGCCTATGAAGAGCGTCAAAGTCCGCTATGGCGACCCGGCCGAGATGCTCTGCGCGGTGCGCTTCAATTTCCTCCCCGGCCTCTTCGGGACCCGCTTTCTCTGGCGCAGGGCAGACTACTTGCTGTGGACCAAATCCATCCCAGAGGTAGCCGACGCCGCCCGGGCGTGGGATGGATTCAACGGGCATTTCACTTTTGGCGATGATGGAGTGTGTCTGTGCAATTCCACCATGAAGCTCAACAGTGTTACATGGGAAGACGCCGGTGTATACGAGTGCTGGTTTCGCATTAACGATCGGCTGGACGAGTGGATTATGCAAGAAGCCTACCTGCACGTCATTTAAATACAGAGCCACCATCAGCAAGCATTTCTGTTCGGCAGCTGTCTGAACATACTGGATTCCTAGCATTTTATTTTTACTTTTGGAATGGTCAGTATTTTTTTTGTGGAAGCAGTATTTTTGAACTACGGAATGGGTACGATCTTTGTTCGGATAATGTGATGGATGTATCATGTATCTCGGTTGATGGTTGATGCGTTATATTCCACTGGCCTTTTCTAGTATGAAATGGATTGTTGGGGCTGACGCAATCCGTACCGTGCTTGGATTCTGTCGGCGTGCACGGTAATGTGTAAGGAAATCCACTGAAAAAAATCAAAAAAAGCATTGAGGGTTGTCCTGGTTAGAGCCTTCTAACTCCTCACACATTCGCAAAAGCGGTATATCGAATGTGGTTCACAGAATCTGCGCACGCTGATCCGACCGGAAGCGTTTATCACGGAACCCAGCGAGTCCGTGGTCCTGCAGAAGAGGAAATGCCAAGACCCGGAGACCTCTTCACGCAGGTTACGCGACACTTTTACTGGCCGCTTCCGGTGATCGAATAAGAGAAGCGGTGATTTTCATTTGTGATGGAATTCATCTACCTGTGTTCACACTTCGCAGTATGCTGCTAGTGCATTTGCCTTGTTTTCTTACTCTGGTGGCTCTATGGCTGTTTTCTGCTAATCAGGATTAACTATGAATGAATGAAGTGAAGTTTATTGTCCTTGCAACGGAGCGGTTGCCCCCTGTAGGCTTCAGACAGTATAGAAAGAAACAGAGTGTATCAACAATATCGCAGAATAGCAACAGGAAAACATGAAGGTCATTTCAAAGCTACACAAACCACGCTGGAACACACAGTCAAAATAACAAGCGTTAGCTATTAGCACATGAACAGGTAGAGAGAGAGTTGGTGCTGCGGTTGCGAAAAGTTGGTATTACCTATGTGGAATACAAATAATAACTAGGTAACAAATAATGCAGATCCCGAAAGAGTTCTACTAATTTAGGCTCAGTTCTACATTTTTTTATAAACAGATTCGACGCGCTTATGTCGGAAACAGGAATGTCAATGCTCGTAACATTTGCAAAGTCGTACATACTCGTCCATACTTAAAATCGTCGTACATACTTAAAATTTTATAGAGCATATAGCAGAAATTACTATTAATGCAGCAGCACAGTACCTTTGCAATGCTCTGCCTCCCCGTACACCCGCACTGGTGCGGTTGCTAAGTTGTTTTGCTGTATTTTGATGGCATAACCACGGTCACTGGTAGGAAAAGTGAAATCGACAGCAGGACAATGAGCATGGGTTTATTATTTGGGCGCGATGTTGTGCAGCGGATGTTCGGCTCATCATCTATACACATTACGCAGTACGAGGCATCAACTTGCTCAAACAACAGCATTGTAATATAAATACACAAATCTTGCGTAGGCTTTACATGCCCACACTAACATGGAACGAGAGGCAAACAAAAATGGCAACAAAGAAACAAAGCGGCGGGAGGGATGGGAGAAACCGAAAGGCAAAAATTTTAACAGCTAACTGGAAACAATTGAGCAATCCGACGTTTCGTGTGCGTTTTTTCCGTGTCTGTTGCTACTGAGAGCCGTGGATCTACATTCTGGAACCCTGAGGGCCCCTGGAACCCTCATTGCTTGCTCTCGCATTACTGTCGACTGTGTGTAGCCATTTTCGCGAACTCCCTGGCTGGTGAATCCTCCATGCCCTGTGGACGGATGAATGAGATGTGGAAGTCCGGAGCCGAACCTCATGCTTGTTACGCACGATGTAATCTGGGGCTAGTAATTCAACGCTTTGCGTTTGGCCATTCAACCAGTGAACTAGTTTGTGTAGCATGTGTGGGTTCTGTCTTTTGGATTTTCGTCCGTCTTGTCTGTCGTGTTTTCAGAGTCTGGTAGACTTGCTTGTGTGCGGAATTTGTTTTGAAACATCTGATCCTGTGAATCACCCATTATTAAATTCTATTGAGCACTTGGCAGTCGCTTATGTAGGCTTGAGTGCAAGTGGGTCAGGCGCCGGTGCAAATCCGGAATCTGTCTCCAGTCCATTCACAACAGCAACAAAATCCATTCATACCGGCGCGACAGCCAACCATCGTGACCTCATTATATACAGATACTCTTAGAAGAATCTTTCTCATTTTTCTACATCTACCAGATCCTAAATCTGGTAGATTCTTCAGTTGCTGGATTTCGTCGTCTGAGCTGTATGCTTTTTCCCTTTTTGCCCCGCAGCAAGGTGTTGCGGTGGCCTTTGATGTGTTGTGGGAGAGAGATAAAGTGTGCAGTGTTGGCGTTCAGTTTCCGTTTCTGTTCGCCCGCAGGGGTGAACTAGCCGTTCATCCCCTGTTAGAGCTCCATGATCAGCCAGAGCTCATCTCCTGGTCTTGTAACATATCCGGGAACTTGAGCTCGTAACATGTCCGGATTAGTGCAGTATCATGGCATCGAGATGAAAAGAGAAAAAGCAATTTTGCGCGTTGCTGTTACAGTATAGCGATGCCATTAGGCGCGATTTAAGTATTACGTAACGGAAATTTTCAACTTTTTCGATCTCCCCCCACCCTTTTGTGACCTTTATCCATGTATTACTTATGAGCGGGTAACGCCAGCCGAAACCAACCCCCCACCCCTCTGAGCCGTTACGTAATACTTGAATCGCGCCTTAGCTGTCAGATTAACACGCTAATCTGCGCTGACGCTGACGATCTGCGCGTCACCGCATTTGTGTGTTCTGTGAGTGTCTGTGAGTGTTTGACGGACTCAACGGCAGAAAAGCCGGCTACTGTCCAGGTGTTCATAGCTGCAGCCAGCAGCATGTTATTCAACAAGGCCGAAAAACGGTGTAAATAATTTTTAATGAACATCTGATATTTCTTTTCCACGTGACTGATAATTCGATTAGCAATCAGCCAGACCAACCGACAGCTGAGATGCAAGGTCAAAAAACACAAAAAACATAATAAATCTGTCTTTATTAATACAAATATGAAGCCGTTCTGGGAAACAAATCACCACAATTATAACAGTTTGTCTGAATCGACGACCCAAGCATAAAACCAGGCGTTTAACTGAGATCAACCGGAAGTGGTGTGACCAGCCAGCTGTCGGCGCAGGACGCCCTGCACTTCCTCGATGGTCCGGCCTTTCGTCTCCGGCAGCTTAAACAGCAAATACCAGGTGGCCGCCACCACGGAGGCGACGAAGAAGAGGAAGGTGTACTCCTTGGTCAGCGCGTTGACCAGCGGGAACATGAGCGTCGTCACCACGGCGGCGCCCCACGACACCGCCGACACCCAGGTCATGGCGGCCGCGCGCGCCTCCTGGCCGAACATCTCCGCCGGCAAGATGTACGGGATGGAGTTGGAGCCCAGCGCGTAGAAGGCGATGTACAGCGGGATACACGCCGCCGGGAGAAACCGCACCCAGGCGTAGTCCCCCGTGTGCGGGAGGTTCAGCGACAGGACGAAGCCCATCAGGGCAACGATCATCCCGGTGTGGCTGACCAACAGGAGGATCCGCCGCCCGACGCGGTCAATCAGCGCCATACAGAGTAGCGCAAAGGTCAGGAAGACGCACCACACCCCGATGGACGCGTAGATGGAGGTCCGCCGCGTCAGCCCGACGTCGGTGAAGATGGCGGTGGAGTAGAAGGAGACGCAGCTGAACCCGGACAACTGCTGCGCCAGCATCGCCGTCACGCAGATCTTTAGCACCGACCGGAAGTATGGTTCCCGGAGCAGCTGGACCAGTCCAACGGGTTCCGGGAGGTGGGTCTCCCGCTCCGCTTCCAACTCCTTCATGTCGCTGCGCACCAGCACGGAGCTCCGGCGCAGCCAGTGCAAGACGTGGTGTGCCGCTTCCCGGTCGTCCACGGTCAAATATAACCTCCGCGGACTCTCCGGACACATCGGGAAGACCAGTAAAAGGGCAATCTGGGAGATGAAACAGAAAGCGTTCAAAGCCGTCCACCCGCCAGCGTTCCCCAGGAGCACCGGGAGACCCAGGACAGTTGCGACGATCATCCCGGCGACGTTCATCACTACGGGAAGAACCCCGAACGTCCCCCGGAGGTTCGTTGGTGTGATTTCCGAGCAGTAGATGGGCGGCGCCACACAGCTGATCCCCAGGGAGAACCCGATGATGAACCGCCCCGCCGTGATCAGTTCGTACGCGGACGACACCTCCGCCAAACAAATCAAGGAGTTTCCCAAAATAAACACTCCGCTGTTAATCAGGATGGTTCTTTTTAATCCAAAGCGGTCGATTAAACCGGCAGCGAGGAATGTTGAGACGAAACCACCAACCATAAACGCCGAAGATAGCACCGCCCAGATCAATCGTAGTTCCGGGAGGTCCTGTAAAAGATCCTCCGCCGGAGGGCCGCACCACCGGGAGGTGTTCCTTTCAGCAACGTCCAGACTCCCGACGCGCTGGCACTTGACCTGGCGGATCCAGTCGAGGATGACGGACTGCGGGCCGTTCATGGCGGCGATGCTGTATCCCATGGGGAACCACGTCCCAAAGGTCACCGTAACCACCGCCAGGACCAGCGTCCGGGTCAGTCCGGAGGTGGGCGGCTGGCTGGAGGGTAATAATTCATTAAGGGGAGATTCCGGGAAAGATTCGTTGAGGGGGATGCAGACGGGCTCGGCGGCGGCGAGGAGGCTGTGACGCCTGCGTGCCGGCATTTTCCTTAGTTGTGGAAATCAAAGCAGGACGCTGGAGTGAGCAGTACTCAGGTTTTGCCAAAATCAACTCCAGATTGTGTATTTATTTGGCAACGAAGGAAATTCCCAGATGGTACGCTGTAATCCGTAACTAACGCTTATCAAAAACTGTGTGGAGCTGCTACTGTACATCATGTGCACTGTCAACCACATCAACCGGTAATCTCGAGACTGATAGCTTTTAATCATTGTGTAGCGATTGGTTGTTATCAAAGTAAACAACGCTGCATGATTAATTTTTGACAAGCTGTTGGAAGAGAGCGGAAATCGATAGCGCCGGAAGCGTGTATAAAGCGTTACACGTGCTGACATAGCAGACAGTCTAAAATAACCTGGTAACGCCAGCTACACCAGTGCCTGCTTCTTCAGCGGCGCTTGTTTCAGTGTTATTTTAATTCTTGTTCCGACCACGTGCCGGTGTCGAAGACGGCACTAGCACGTGCTCGTAAAACGTGCACTGCTACAATCATATTGCCGTTATCGAAAATGCATATAATATTATATACAAATCCAGGTTACTGTACTGTATGTTCGAATCGCTGACGCTTCCACGCAAGCTGCTTTCTCAGCCGAACCAGCATGTTGCTTTCCGCGCTGCACGCATTTTACTTGAAGACACTGCACTACACAATCCCAAGCATACCAAAACAGATAAGATAACGGAATTTCCCACAAACAAGCGCTCGCTAAAATGTCAACACTGGGTTCATAGCTAAAACGTTTGTACGACTTTATAACTTCGACGAAAGAACAACCGCATTGAAAAACGTCAGTTAAATGTTATTCTATTTTTCCTTTTAATGGCTTAAAATTTTTTCGTTACTCTTCGCGCGATAAGCAGCGTACCGGTGACAATTATTTATGGGCATTCATCGGATTAATTAATTCGACATGCCGCCGCGTAGAAGACACACGCTAACGTCATCTGAACCAGTCTTCATCCCGCTCAATGAATCTTTCACGCAATCTCAACTGGACGATAACGGATGTCGGACGCCTTCCGGACTCACCTGCCGATTGATTTTTACTGTGATAATCGTGACCTTTGGGACGTGGTTCCCTATGGGCTACAGCATCGCGGCGATGAACGGGCCGCAGACGGTGATCCTGACCTGGATCCGCTCCATCAAGTGCCGTCGCGCGGGAGGCGTCTTCCAGACGACCAACACCTCCGATGTGAGTAATGGCAATGTCGCCCTTGACCCGGACACGGAGATATGGTGCCGCTTCGTCCCGGAGGCCGAGCAAGGCAACCTCCTGAAGGACAACCCCCAACTGAACACCATCTGGGCGCTGTCCTCCTCCGCGTTGATGGTCGGCGGCTTCCTGTCCTCCTGCGTCGCCGGCGCCGTCATCGAGCACCTGGGCATCAAGCGGACCATCCTGGCCGATGCCGGCCTCTTCCTGGCCGGCAACCTCCTCTTCTGCCTCGCCCAGCCCACCGCCGCCTTCGAGCTCATCGCCGCCGGCCGCTTCCTGGTGGGCTTCGCGCTGGGCGTGGCCTGCGTGGCGCCCCCGGTCTACTGCTCCGAGATCACGCCCGTCAAGCTGCGCGGCGCCTTCGGCGTCTTCCCCATCCTGCAGTACGTCCTGGGCATGATCCTGGCCACCTCCCTCGGACTGCCCTTCGTTTTAGGGAACGAGGCCGGCTGGATCTGGCTGGTGGTGGCTGCCTTCATCCCGCCGCTGCTCCTGCTGCTCCTCTTCCCCTTCTGCCCCGAGAGTCCCCGGCGCCTCTTCCTGGTGACAAAAGAGAAGCAGCGCGCCGAGGGTGTCCTGCGCTGGCTGCGTCGCAACTCCCTCCTCGTCATCCGCGAGATAAAGGAGCTGGAGTCGGAGAACCAGAACGAGAGCGCCCCGACGGCCGGCTTGTTGGACCTCCTGCGCCACCGCTACTACCGCTCCGTGCTGGCCCTCTGCGTCGTCCCCATGTTAGCACAACAGATGTCCGGGTTCAGCTGCGTCTCCTTCTACTCCACCGCCATCTTCACCGACGTCGGCCTGGACCGGCTGTCCTCCATCTACGCCAGCATCGGCCTCTGGCTCGTCTACCTGCTCTTCTCCCTCGTCTGCATGCTGCTCGTCGACCGCCTCGGGCGCCGGCCGCTCCTCATGCTCAGCCACGCCGGGATGGTTTTGGCCTTGACGGGCTTCGTGGTAACGCTCAACCTCAAGGACACCGGGTAAGTTGGTGACCTTTGGCATATATGTCCTCTGACTGACTTCGGTTGATGACCTTTAGGCTGACCTGGATGAAGTTCGTAACGGCGGCGTGCATCCCGCTGTACATCGCCTTCTACTCGTTAGGCTCCACCTCCATTCCCTGGTTCCTGCCCAGCGAGATGTTCGCGCAGGAGGCCCGTGCCGCCGCGGTGACGTGGATCTCGGTGGTGTCGTGGGGCGCCGCCGTGGTGACCACGCTGGGCTTCCCGCTCATCCTGGCTGTCACACAGGACTACACCTTCCTCATCTTCGTCGTCTGCGTCGTCCTGGCCACGGTGCACATCTACTTCAAACTGCCCGAAACCAAAGGCAAGACCATCGAGCAAGTCCAGGTCATTCTCAGACAACGCTACACCAGCAATTAAACAAACATTCCATTCTACAAAGCAACTGCCGACCAATCGTACCTGCTAAGGTTTTTCTTTTAACCTGATGCCGATTTTTATCGTATCTTTGTATGTCTTGTGTCTTGTCTGCATGGCTAATGGTATTAGAAAAAGGAAGTAAGTGAATTTAGCTGGTTATGGAATGCAGGCTACCGAATCTTCCAAACAATATAATTCTGTCATTTAGTGGGCGCATGCATGTAACAAGAAACAGGAGCATACAATCATATAATGGACGAAAGAATTCCCTTGAGGATGGTGTCTAGAAGAACGTCGGTGCAGTAAAAGAAGATGCCTGTGGGCGTAATTAGTTATTGCGAAAAACATAGTGCAGTGGCCTTTTATTCAAGCACGCCTTTCTCTCTAGTGTACCTTTACGCAGGAAATTACGGGGCAGGCTTGTACGCGTACACCATTACAGTCCTCGAAATCGAACCCTGCCTTCAAGCTGAGGCAGGTGGGCAGTACGGTACATAGCGTTGTAATGCAGCAAAAACTACCCGGTACTTTAAGCAAACACTCCACAGCGGAACTTCGTTTTTTCTCCTTTGACAGCCGCATCAGTATCCTGTTCCCTTTTCCCGTCGTCCCGTCCTCATTGTCTGTCAGCAAACGGATGTTGTAGCTTGCGCATGATCCATTGACCATTTTCCAAGCAGATTCACCAGCGAATAAACCAAGCTCACGAGTGAAGTGCCGTTGTGCCTACTGCATTTGCTAGGTACGTCTAACTGGTAAGTGATGCCTGCTTGTGTCCAATACGATTATTGTGCAATATACGAGTGTATCCAAGTGCCAAGTATAACGAACGTGTTAGATATGTAACCTGTAAAACGTTCAGTTATTTTTGAATATTTTATTGAATGATTTTATTATTAGTTTAAGTTTTCGTTGAGCCACCTTGCTGTTCTGATTTGCCGGTGTCTGAAGCATTACACGTATTGCGTCTGTAATTATCCCTAACAACCGGCAAAATCCGCGGCCAGTGTAGTATGGATGGTAATTTCAGCTGTGAAACCAACTGCACTGCTGACTGGATCAACGGTAGCCAGTTGGACATCGTCAACGACACCACCAACGAAACCTCTACGGTAATATTCGTTCGGCCAGAATCATGGGCGATTATCCGGCGTTTACACTCTTCTGTATGTGGCGCTCAATCTGCCCGTCATCCTCCTCTTCGCTCTTAACCAGCGCTTCCGTAGTTCTTTCTCCGTCTACATCACCTGCTTGGCTGTCTGTAATACCCTGCTGGGCATCGGCGACCTGTTCCAGCTGATAACCCGTCTGACCTTGGCCAGCGAGATCGGGATAGTGCCCTATGTGCTGTACCTGGGGGAAGTGCTGAGTGTGCTGCCGATGCAGATGCACGCTTTGATTGCAGTGCATCGTTTGTGGGCCCTGGGCTGGCCTATCTCTTTCAAGCGCTTACACAACCCCAAACTGGCCTGGACAATATGCGGTGCAACAGTGGGAACAATCCACGCAATTGCTCTGCCTTCAGTCATCCTTAATACCGTGACCCCAACACAGGGCTATGGAAACGGCGAAGTGCTGACATATTACCCACTGATACTGATGTTTACAACTAAAGTCGGCCCACTGGTATTCATTATAATTTGCTACCCAGTCGTGTGCTGGCTGTATCACAGGAAACAAAAGAGAAAAGCCCAGCTGAGGACACAAACACCGGCAACTATGCGGTCGACCAATTTGCAGATGCGGAATCGTGTGTCGGTTTATGCACTGAACCCGGCCAGACAGCAGGTAGCAGGGATAAACTTACGGTTTAAAGTGACAAAATATCGTATTTTGGCCTAGTGCGTCATTTAAAGAAGTTGTTAGTAATAAACATACTACACAGTAATAATTTTTGTATAGATCCTAATCATTTCGTTTGATTCCAGCAGGACGTTGCTAAAGCTGTTATTTGCTCTTAGGTAGCGTCGAAAGCTGCCGCTGTTGAAAAGCGGGCATTTGAAAACCGTCCGTTTGTAGCATTGAGTGTGCTGACGCTGAGCACAGTCGTGTGCTGGTTTCCCATGTGGCTCTGCTTCGTCATAGAATTCGCTGGTGTCCCAGTAACCGATCACGTCTTCTTTGTTTTTGCCACATCGATCCTACCTTTACAGCCTGTTTTCGACCCGCTGCTGTTTGCGCTGAGCATGCCATCCCTGCGGCATGCCGTCGTGGCCGCCTTTGTATGGCGGTGCAGATCTAAATGCTGACGTCACAAGCTTCACATCACGCATCCGTCTGCTATGGGTAACCTTTAACCACGCTACTTTAACCACATTGTAGCGTTTTTGGCTATCAACTATTGTTAAACTATTTCCGTTTATTTCTTATTTCCACTATGCTTCCGCTCGCTAGCGCCTGAACCGATCTATCCTGAAGCGGATACGGTTTGTCATGTGTAATTCTGTCACTGTGCGACATATAATATTGTATACTTCAAGTAGCTTTTTTTATTGAAGCCATCGTTTGTGCACGTTTTAAAAGACAGCTTCGTCGGTCTGAGACTTGGAGTCGCAACATGTGAACCCCCCGAATGCATGAAGCGCCAGAAGCATGTAGACAAATACGGACACCATGGTCTGTCTTGCGCGTTCTCTGCTGGTAGACTCCCATGCGCTCCCGGACAGTTGGGAGTGTGACATTTCGCCGCAATCAAATTCGACGCGCGACTTTTGTCCGCGAAGACATTTCGTCGCTGGACATTTCGACGCTGGGACACTTTGGTTTGGGGCATTTTCCTTTAAGGCATTTTCGCTTTGAGACATTCTGACGTAAGACGTCTGGTCGCGGACAGTTCGCCGCAAACTAATTCGAGGCGCTTAGTTTTCTCAGGGTTTCTCGACTTTTTCTTAAGGTTACTTAGGTTTCTTAGGTTATTTTAGGTTTTCTGATGTTTTCTTAGGTTCCAAAGGTTCCTCAGGTTTCGTAGGCTTCTTGGATTCCTTGCGGGTGTTTTCTTAGGTATTGCTCAGGTTTTTTTCTTAGGTGTTCTTAGATTTCCAAGGTTCTTAGGTTTTTTAAATTTTTTCTTGGGTTTTTGCGACAATTTAATACGCCAAATAAAAATATGTCTGATAAAGGAATGTCTTTGCGTCGAAACAGCCTCGCGGCGAAATGTCCCCTCACCGAAACGGGCATGCGTCGAAATGTCCTGCGGCATGAAGTCCTACCGGTTAACGGGTTAAGTGTCCCGCGACGAAACGTCGCGTCGCCTCGCGAGGCAAGATGACCCTGCGGCAAAATGTCTGCGACCGAAAGTCCTGCGACGAGTTGTCGGCGGCGAAATGTCGCAGTACCCTCCCACGACATGGTGGATTAAGCGACATCATTTGCCGCGCGTGTGTTTCAGCTGGGATTCCGGCAGAACTGCAGCCACGTGGCACGTCGCACAAACGACGCCCTGACGGCTGCACAACTTCTGCCTGGCCGAGAGGGTTGTGTTTAGCGTGGGATGTCACTTGCGTTGACACTGTCGCGCCTTCCCACATCAAGAATACGGCAACTGAGAAACCTGTGGTGTCTAACGTTTCATCGGCTGAAAATCTCTTGGTTCCCTCTGCGCCATTGTTATCTCAGGAAAATGTCGATGATTTCAACAAAGCAATGGAGAATTTGTGTGAAAGAGTGTACCTCGTAGAATGCAACGTTCATTATCATACCGTCGAAGATGACGTAGTGGGTACCGACCCCGAGGTTGAGGAGATCGCTGTAAACCATTTTGGGACTACAGCTAAGGAAGCTAAACAACTTGCCGAAACGGGAAAACGTTGGAAACCTCGAAGAACAGAGGCGCCGCGACTGAACCTACGCAAGGCCGAATTACCGAACCCGTCCACGACGAACGGGTTAAAATTAACGTCTGATGATTTTTCCATCCAACCAGCTGGTAAAGCCCCTACCTATGCAGCCATTACGAAACGCCAGCCAAAAACGATACGTGGAGAGATGACTACCGTGGCAGATAATGCAGAACCTCAAAGTGAACTGGTACGTACATTGCAGTGTAACCGCAAGCCTCACGCAGATTTTTGTGTCAGAGGAATTCCTCGCTTGGGAAGTTCGCAGTTTTTGAACATCAAAGAGTACAACGCTTTCATATCCAACCAGTTAAAAAAAGCTGGAATTGCTACAAGATTTGTAAGCGTATTTGTCCCTCCTGCTGGGGACAAACGAACGTCGACCTTTGCCCGTGTTGGAACATTCAAGGATGCATCTGAAAAGATTTTGAATCCAAAAATCTGGCCGTCTAATGTGTTTGTACGAGAATGGGTCTACTGATATTCTATTGCTAATTTTGCTACGCTATCTTCACATAATTTGTCGTCTATTTAGTTATCTAAGATATCCTGAATGTATCCCAGTGGCGCCCTATCATTTTGGCCACCATTCATTCTGGCCACCATTCATTTTGGCCACCAATCATTTTGGCCACCCGTCATTTCGGCCAACTAACAAACTTAGAAACCTAAAAACCTAAGAATCTAAGAATAACCTAAGAAAACCTAAGAAAACCTAAGAACCTAAGAAACCTAAGAAACCTAAGAAACCTAAGAAAACTAAGAAACCTGGGGTGGCCAAAATGATTGGTGGCCAAAATGTATGGTGGCCAAAATGAATGGTGGCCAAAATGAATGGACACGATCCCAGCAATGGTTTTTGTGGTCTTGATATGCGAATCGCTGCTTTACTTTCATCTGTTATGCATGTCTCTTGATGTAACCTTTGTTAAATATGCTTTTATTGTTGTCGAAAAGCTGAACACTACATGTTTATTGTTTATTTTTGACTGTGTCTGTCTGAAGCCAAGAGGGGGCACCTGCTCTGTGCAAGGACAATAAACTCCAATATTAATATTTAACTCACGCAGGTGCGGCTGAACAGAACAGAAGTCCCGGTTGTACTTACTCGTACTTAAACACCAGATACATTTTTTCTTCAAGTGCTTTCGAAACAATGGGACTATGGGGACCGTCAGCTGTCGCCCGCATTAAAGAGCTGGGCAAACGACTTGAGCAACACACAGGCGAAAGACGTTCCCATGGATTCCTGCGTCAAAGATTGTCACTAGTGATATAACGGGGAAACGC